TGGATGGGTGGGTGGATGGGTGGAGGATGGATGGATGGGTGGATAGATGGATGGGTGGATGGATGGATGGATGAGTGGATGGGTGGATGGATGGGTGGAGGATGGATGGATGGAGGATGGATGGGTGGATGGATGGATGGGTGAAGGATGGATGGATGGGTGAATGGATGGATGGATGGATGGGTGGGTGGATAGATGGATGGGTGGATGGATGGATGGATGGATGGATGGGTGGGTGGATGGATGGATGGGTGGGTGGGCGGATGGATGGATGATGGATGGATGGGTGGATAAGATGTATAGGTGGACAGATAGGACAGAGATACACCTTTTCATTTCCTTTACGCTATAGTGTAGTCAGCTTGGGAAAATGGTCTCAAGGGCTTTCTTTCAATTCCACAGCAGTTGCTGCAGATTGCAAGAGGCAGGCAGAGGCTGGGAGGTACAGCTTTGAGTGTACACAGCAGAGTTAAAATTTCATGCCATAAAACAGCTTGGAAAGAGGTCAGTTTTCAGTCTTAACTTTGAAGACAGATCCTGGAAATATCATTTTATCTTTGGTATTATCATCCTTCCAGGCTTTGCACTGATTTTGCATTAATGATTTTGATTATTTGGCTATAAAACAGAAAAATAGCTGGACAGAGGACAAGCTCCCTCAGGTCCTCCATCAAATGTGTTCTAAGAAAGTCAGAAAAGGCAAATCCAAGACACTCTTCAGTGTGGAAAATATTTTTGCATTTCTTTCTTATTGCCAAACAGTTGGAGTTATTTTCAATAAGAATTCAACCCATTTTTAATGAACGAAAAGTCTGCCCTTGGCTGCTCTAAATCTGGGTTGAGTTTTCAGGCAGCGTTAACATGTACCCACTTCAAGGCCTGAGTCTTCATGAATGCTAGAAAAAGGCAAAATGCTGATTTTGTGGGCCCTCCCTGGTGGCACAGCAGGTTAGGACATAGCACTGCAAGCCAGCCTCAGCCGCTTCAGTGCGAGTTCAACCCCCGGCCCCCAAGGTGACCCACAGGGCGTGGCAGACCTCTCCTGACCCGCCCGCTGCACCCCTCAGCAGTGTACTTCATCGATCTGCCTGTTCTGCTCCCCACTCTGTCTCTGGTGAATCCTCTCACCACACCTGCATCTCTGACCTATACTCCAGTTCTGTATGCATAAATAAAATTAAAATCTAAAAAAAAAAATGCATTTTAAAAATGTTGATTTTGCTTTATTTAGAGGTACTTAAGTTTATATGTTTGACATTCAGGGACCTTTGATGGGAGGGGAGTTTGGGGAGGAGGGATTACGGAGGGGCAGATACAGCTGCTCCCCTTTCCCCCACCATGAGCCGCAGGGACTTCATCACCTGGCTTTTGGTCCAAGCAAGATTCATGCTCTTAGCAGATCAAAACCATAAATTTTCCACTCGGGCTCTTTCTTATAAAAAAGAAAAAAAGGGATTCCCTACCCAGACACCCAAGCCTGATAGTGTCAGCTCTCAGGACCAGGAAATGTGAGGTCATGGGCGCAAGCTTTAAAGAACCACCTCTGCGCTTCTGCCTGCGTGGCCGTGCTTTCCTGATCCCGAGGCTGAAATGGATCTGCGCCTGGCGGTCTGACTCCCGGAGAGCCTGTAGGCTGGAGGAGCGGGGCCTCGGGCTTCTTGCTTCAGTTTTCTCACCGGACACCCCTGGCCCGACCCCACCCCAGAGTCCAGCAGCATCTGCGCTTTGGACTCACCCACTATGCGGGTCTCTTGACCCTGGCAGTGGGCTGCTAAATTCCACGCCCCTACTTTACCTTCTGAGTGTCCCAAGCTCACCCAACACCCGCCTCCTGTGACCCCGTCCCTGTCACCGGCCGCGGCCAGCATCCCAGCTGGGCCGTGAGCACCGAGCTGTCAAAGGCCAAGATGGACGCCACGGCCCGCATCTCCGGCGCTGGGTCTGGCGCGTGCATGACAGGCGGAGGTAGACTGGAGCTGAACTGCGCCGGGTTAATGGTCCCAACCGTGCCTTGCTTGCAGTGTTCTGCCAACTGTGGGAAAGGGGAGCAGAAGCGGAAGGTGACCTGCACCAACTCCCAGGGGAAATGCGACGCGTCCACGCGCCCGCGGGCCGAGCAAGAGTGCCAGGACTACTCCGGCTGCTACGAGTGGAGAACGGGGGACTGGTCCAAGGTGAGCCCGCGCGCTTGCATCTCCACCCCTCCCAGGGACGCAGGGGACCCACAGGCAGGAAGTCAGAGCCATCAGGTGGTCACAGCCCGCCCGCCCGCAAGCTCGGTGTCGCCAGAGGGTCGCACCACCCCTGGCGGGTGCAATTGAAGGAAGCCGAATGCGCCCAAACACTGAGTGGGGTGCCTGTCTGCCATGTCTGCAGCTGTGCCCTAGCATCCTGCCTGGACTAGACCGCCGAGCCATGGAGAGAACGTCTAGGCCTGTGGGAGCCTTAGCACACAAGGAGATGGGGCTTGGGAGGGCGCCTGGTGGTGGCTTGGGTTGGGAGAGTCTCAGAGAGCGGCGAGCCCCTCCTCTTGGGGCAGGAGCCCTACAGCCCCCACCAGCGGGAAAGCTGCCTTGCAGTCTAACCTCCCTCCACTCGCTCCCCGGGTCCCTGGATGAGCCTGACGGGTGAGTGCCCTGGTGACGTGTTCCGGAAGGCTCTTCCCCCCAGACGGCAAACCCCTAAGTCACCCAAAGAGAACGGGGAGTCCCCGGTGTTTCCTTATGGGCTGAGCAGCTAGAAACACCGTCAGCCTCTGTTGCTGTCTCTTCACTGACAGGCTGCAGACCCAGAGCTCAGGGGCTCCGAGATCTGCGTCCCGCGTGGCAGCTTAAGTGTTTTGGAAACAGTGGGGTAACGCTTCACAATGGGAAAATTTCACCTGAAAATTTGGACTCTGGCTTTCTTTTTTCTTTTAAGATTTATTTATTTCTGCATACAGAACTGGGGTACAGGCCAGAGGTGCAGGGGCAGTGAGAGGATTCCCCACAGACAGAGTGGGGAGCAGAACAGGCAGAGTGACGAAGTACACTGCTGAGGGGAGCAGAGGGCGGGTCAGGAGAGGTCTGCCGCGCCCTGTGGGTCATCACCCTGGGGCCGGAGGTGGAACTCGCTTGCAGTGCTGCGTCCTAACCCGCTGCACCACCAGGCAGGGCCCTGGACATTGGCTTTTCTACAGAACGCCGGCAACTCAACGGCGTAACCGTGTGGCCTGGGGCTGGCACCTCCCCGACTTCTCACAGCCATGTCACGCTCCCACTCACCTGCCTGAGTGGCCAGGAAATCTGTTCGTGTGTCTGCTTTCTGGAAAAAGGAGCAGTCTGAGTGTTGGAGAGCAACACTTCCCGAGACCTGGTCCTCGCAAGTCCGAATACAAAAGCCTCCAGACCCTTGGCGTGGGCAAAAGCCAAATTTCTCAGGTTCTCGTTTGCTGGCTGTGCTAAAATGCAGCATCTGGACAGAAGTGAATTTGGGGAACACCAAAAGCACCTCTCTCCTATTTATTCCCTGGTTGGAAAATCTGACCAAGCAGTAGAAGCAAAGCCAACAGTCCAGTTTTTCCAAAAAACAAACACGTGGATGTAATAGAAATTGCTGTGGAATTGTGGGGATGAAACCAACGCTGGCGGAGACCCTGCACTGGAAGGTTCCTGTGGAAATGCCATTGAACTTGGAGTCACATGATAGAGGCATCCAGGGCCGAGTTACAATGCTGACCCGCCCCTCAATATGTGTTCGCCCCTCTGACCCTCACTGTCCAGCTCTGACATGGGGAATGGGCCTCCCTGGACAAGAAGTCACTGGCCACTTTGATCTTTGCAGTAAAAGGAAAGCAGATTCACTTTTCACATGGAGAGCCAAGAGTCAAGGGAACTGTTCCCCACCTGCTTCTCAGAGATGAGGGCTTTCCAGGTGATGGAAGGGGGGACTAAGTCTTGGCCAGGTAGGCCCTTCCCCCTGCCTCTAATCCACCGGCTCCTCACACCACTGAACATGCCTGTCACCAGGGGGCACCTGTTCTGATCCGCCCGACTCGGTCTTATCAGGGCTGCCGGGCTTTGGTAGAATCCGAGGTGCCCCATGACCCCCTGTCCTCTGGGGTGTTAGCTGTTTCCAGATGGGCACAAATCGTCCATCTTGGTGCTGGGTCTTAGACTCACCAGCCCAGGGGAGGGAGATGTCACAGCGCCTAAGAGGAGGAACCTGTGCTTCTTCCTAGAAACGCCTGACTTTAACCAGAGACATTCATCACCCCTGCAATGGTGGGATGTTTCTAATTAGAAGTAACTTCTTCTGGAGGGATGATAATAGATGGGATTTTCGAGAAAACTGTTGGCTCTCTGTTAAGAGTAAACATTTCCTTTCACTGCCAAGATCAAAGTGGCCAGTGGCTTCCTGCCCAGGGAGGCCAGTGGAGGGGCTGGGCTGGCTGACCAGGCCCCAGCTGAACCCAGGCATGTCCCACTGTATTGGGGACAGCTCCCCCAAAGAAGCAACAGAGCCCTGGGGTGAAGTCAAGGAGAGCTTCTCCCCACAACACCGCTTTGTGGGCGCCTTCCCCCAGGTAGCTATCTGAAGCCCTCCTGTGCGTTGGGAGGGAGCCAGGCCCCAGCTACAAGGTCTTAGCATTGAGCCCCCCTGGGTCAGGGCAGGTGTTGCAGAGAGGTTGGCGGGAAATCCAGGACACCAGACTGGGGGCGCAGCGGCTGTCTCCGCCAGGCCCTGGCCTGCCGACCAGAGTCCAGAGCTCCTGGGATACCAGCCCTTAAAAGTCATCAGGGGTCATCTTGGTCCCCTCGGCCCTAGAATCTGTAGGATGGAAGCTGTAAAATCAGCAAGTGGGGAGCCCTCCCTGATGGCACAGAAGCTAAAGCCACTCCAGCATGAGTTTGATCCCCACCCTGAAGGTGACCACATGGCGCGGCAGACCTCTCCTGGCCCGCCCGCTGCTCCCCTCAGCAGTGTACTTCGTCGATCTGCCTGTTCTGGTCCCCGCTCTGTCTCTGGTGAACCCTCTCACTGCCCCTGCACCTCTGGTCTGTACCCCAGTTCTGTATGCATAAGTAAATCAATCTTAAAAAAAAATCAGGAGTGGGGCAGCCCAAAGCTAAGGCCACGGACAGGAGGAAAAAGCGCCTGAGAGGAAGTTTGAGTTGAAGCGCGCGCGCGCGCGCGTGTATGTGTGTGTGTGTGTGTGTGTGTGTGTGTGTGTCTAAGTCTATGAAAGCATTTCCAGTTTCTAGACTGGAGCAAAGACGGTGGGGATTTTCATTATTGTTTAAACCTGCTATTCAGGTTTCAACAGCTTCTGAGGTTTGCAGTGCTCATGCCAAGTCTGGGGAGAAATCTGTCAAAAAGCCTTTGAAGAGCTGTTGACATTTCACCAGCCAAATGCCTTTCAGAATCCAGCAGAATGGAGTTACTGTACGGGTGTCCTCTCTTTGTCTTCCTGGCTCCCCCTCTTGCTCCCCCTCTTCCCCAGCGGCCCCCTCTAAGAACAGCCCTTGGGAACTTGGGTGAATGCACTGCAATGAAGGTCTCCTGCTCACCCCAGAATCTGTGGAGGGAACCCCACTGTGCCCAGCTCAGGAAGCCAGGACTCCTGCATGTACTGAACACTCCTCTCCCCGAGGTGGTTACCACCTGTTTAGCTAATTCTCAGAACAGCTCTCTGGGGTCTGGTGTTATTTACAGGGGTGCTTTGACAGATGGGAGAGGTGAGGAGTCGGGGTCCTTGCCACGGTGAGCCAGTCCCCCGGACCAGGCCTCTGGGTGGTGACGGACCTTGTGGGGTTGGTGGGAGGGGGCCGGGGCTGTGTCCCAGCACCCGAGTGGCACACACCTGCGTGATCCCCCAGCACAGGAAACTCAGTGGCTTCGCTGTGAGCCAAGCACCTCTTTACGCACCACAGGGGATACTGGGAAGAAGCCTGGGGGGTCACAGGGTCTCCCCTCTGGCGCCCCACTGCAACCTGGAGAGATTTTTTTTATAACAAATTCGTTATTTTCTTTACTTAATTCTGGTTATCAACCCTCCAGTCTTGTGGGAAATTAATTCAACTCCCGTCACTACAGAAGACCCCCAGTTATCAGGCACAGTTCCTCTGGGGTGCCCCTCAGAAATTTCAAGTTCCCTGTCTGCTTGGAGCGAGGGTACGGGGGGAGGAAACTCCCCAGCATAACACTTCAGCGGTTGCCGCGCGTCTCAGCTCTGGCTGCTGTGATGGAATAGTGCGGCTGGCGGGCCTCCACGACAGGCATTTACTTCTCACAGTTCTGGAAGCTGCAAGACCAAGATCGAGGCTTCTGGGCCTGCAGACAGCCGCCTTCCCCGTTTCCCCGCAGGGTGAAGAGAGCTCTGGTCTCTTGCCTCCTCCTCCTCTTCTTCTTGTTTTTTTAAGACTTATTTAGTTATATATACAAGAACTGGGGTACAGGCCAGAGGTGCGGGGGTATGAGAGGACTCACCAGAGACAGAGTGGGGAGCAGAACAGGCAGATGTGCTGAATTCCACTGTTGCGGGGAGACAGGAGAGGTCTGCCGTGCCCTGTGGGTCACCCCCCTGGCCGGGGGTGCAGTGGCTGCGGACAGCTTCATAGTGCTGCGCTCTAACCCTTGTGCCACCAGGGAGGCCCTCTTTCCTCTTCTTCTAAGGACATGGGTCCCATCAGAGGGACACTCTGTCACACTCTTGTCTAAACCCAGTGACCTCCGAAGAGCCCATGTCCGAATACCACCCCACTGGGGGTTGGGGCCACAGAGTGTGTGTGGGGAAGGGCGGCTGACTTGTAGTCTGTGACGCCTTAAAATCTTGGGCAGCTGTGGGCAGTCAGCCCCTCTGCCCTGCCGTGTGGGGTCGTGGCCCAGAGGCCCAGCTCAGGCTGTCCCGTCTCCACAGTGCTCGTCCACCTGTGGGAAGGGACTACAGTCCCGCGTGGTCCAGTGCATGCACAAGGTCACCGGGCGCCATGGAAACGAGTGCCCGGCCCTGGCCAAGCCCGCCGCCTACAGACAGTGCCACCAGGAGGTCTGCAACGACAAGATCAACGTGAACACCATCACCTCCCCTCGCCTTGGTGAGTGGCCCCGGGCTGCTGGGAGTGCTGTGCCCCTCCGAGGGAGAGCCCCCTGCCAGGCACCCCCTCCTGGCCCTGGAGAGGCCAGCATGGGCAATTCTGTAGCAGGTCAGGGGTTTCGGTGGGGGGATTTCATTCCTCGTCAGACAAAAGATGTTTGCTAATTGCAGTCTCGTCCCATTAATCTCTCTGCCAACAAATGGGGAACACGGCAGAATGTTCCAGGGTTCCTGTCCCCAGGGCAGGCGAAGGGAGGAGCTGTCTTCTAGCAGTGAAAGTCTGGGGGTGTCCTTCGTGAATCCTTGGTGATGTGTGCCTGGGATGTTCCGTGAGCTGAGGCTTGAGAAAACAGCGGTGTTGGTGATTTGCTGCTTTAATTTGGCAGAAAGCAGGTATTCCTGGTGCCCCCTGCCTGTCCTTAGCAGGTGCTGCCCAGGCCAGTGCTGGCGTGAGGCGGAGGGACAGCTAACAGCAACCTGACTTTGCCTTTGCACAGTGTCTGCCTTTCCTAGGGCACACTCCCATCAGCGGCCCTTTTTCCAAATGCGGGCAGGTCGCCACTATAAAGGGGCTTCTCAGCCTCTTCACTGGGGAGTTCTGAACGTGGAGAGGGGTCCCCAAGGTTTCTGCAAGCCCAGGCCTCCTCGATATCTTGGACAGGGTCTTCTCTCAGCACACCAGGACCCTGCTCTCGCATGTGCTGTGTCCTGATGCCCCCTGCCCCGTGCCCGTTTCATTAATGCCAACCATGCTGGCATCCTTTACCACAAAGTAGCATTCCCTGCCGCTTAGTTCCGAGGCAAGGTGGTAGCGAGACAAACACATTCGACCAAGGGGTTGCACCCAGAGGTGCATCTTCCCTAGGAGACTGCAATGCGCCAGCTCCCTCCCTGCAGACGTCCTGATTGCTGAGTCTGTGCCCCGCTGCTGGTGCACGTGAGCGAGATAGCCCCGGGCCACAGGCCTGCTCCGTGACCTCCAAGCCGTCTGTAACCCCTGGGCTTTCTCTCCCCGTCGCCCCGTAGCCGCCCTGACCTACAAGTGCACACGGGACCAGTGGACAGTGTACTGCCGGGTCATCCGAGAAAAGAACCTCTGCCAGGACATGCGGTGGTACCAGCGCTGCTGCCAGACGTGCAGGGATTTCTACGCCAGTAAGATGCGCCAGCCGCCGCCGCCGAGCTCGTGACACTCGGCCCAGAGGCCCCTGCCTGACACTCTGCCGTGAGGTCGGAGTCCTGAGACGAGGCTGGTTGGAAGCCCACCCACCGAGCTCACGCCAGTCCTGCCCCAGGACCCCCGGCGCGGCCACTCCCCGGGCTGTCCCCAGGCTCCGATCAACCGCACAGACCTGGAGAGCGGGCGTGACGTTTGCCGCTGGTGCTTTGTATCTAATATATTGTTAACAGCCACTGGATGGCTTTCTGCAGTAAGGAAAAATAGGCCTGAGTCACAAAGTAGTTGTCACTTCTAAGGTTCCATGTACCTCAAGGGTTAAACCTCCGACAGACCCTTGTCACGGGGGAGACATCTGGTGCTTCTATCTTGGTTTCTTTCACGTCTGAGTTCTGGTGCTTGGTGTGCTGCAGGGGGAGCAGGATCCCAAAAAGGACACATTTTACAGTAAAACAGGCTTGATTCTGAAAGCCAGCCACACCCTGGGCAGACAACAGACGACCGCAAACCTCTGCTAACGGCTTCTCTGGAGAAGGCGGGGGCCGGAGCCGAGCCCCACCCCGAGAATCAGTGCTTGGCCTCCGGGGTCCAGTTCTCTGGCTCCTGGGGCTTGAAAGTCCAGTCCTGGAGGCGCACGCCTGTGTCAGCCAGCCGGGCAAGATCTCTGCTGTCCACCACTCTCTTCAAGGTGCTATGAGACTGGACACGTGCTCATTTTGGCAATGGGATTGCTTCCTGGCGTACAGGGGAGCTCGGCACAGCTGGGGCCGGTGTCTAAGGAGCCCCTGCCGTGCCCACCGGGGGCCTCTCCACTAGAAGCTTTGACCTCGGCCATCTCTCTGAACTTGGTGCTTTGCAGCCCTCGGAGGACTCAAGCCCAGGCCTGGCGTCTGCAGAATGAAGCCTGGCCTGGGGTGCGATTCCTCCTGGGGCTGGTCAGCCTGCTGGGCCGGGACCACGGACGGTTTCACCGGGCCCGAATCCCAGGTGGCCACTCAGCCTGCCTCCCGCCCAGACCTCACAATGGCCCCTGCTGTCACGCTGTCATCGCTAGCCACCTTCTCAGCGGGACCGCACAACGGGAAGCAGCTTCCTCTGGCGTGCCTCCCCCTCGTAGCAGAAGTCTGTCCTCACCAGAGAAAGATGGCGAGACCCCGCTGCCCGGGGCAGGACCTAGGTGCCAGGAGGCCTGCTGTGTTTGCCACTCGGTGGGTGTTTGATGGGTGCTTTCGGCCAAGGACTTCACTGTGCGAGCCCGCCCGCCGCTGCCTCGGCGCAGTGGGGGTCTGCGTGTCCCTGGCTCCGTCTCCCAGTGCTTCTGGGTTCACTGGTGCTGTTCATGTATCTGTTTGTGTCCTTTTGATGTCACAACTTTACGCTTAGCTTACATCAGAAAGGAAAAAAGAAAAAGCCACTCTCTGCTTTCTCCCTTCTCAGCCCTGCCGTTTTCTGGGCTGTTTGCAGTGTTAAGACCCCGGAGTCAGCGGTGGCGGCGTGTCAGGGAGTTTCTTCAGTTCCATGTGAATCGAGGAGCAGTGCTGAGCGACCTGTCAGGTGCTCTGTGGGGAGGGCGAGGCCCCCGCCCCTGCCCCAGAACCTCCAGTGCTTGCCCCGGGCCGCTCCCCACACTCCATCCTCCCGGGAACCCCAACCCCCAACCTCCGCATACCCACACATTACTGGAGAACGCGTGTCGTCCTGGGCCCAAGTGGGCGCCCTTCACCATAAACTGACAGAAAGGTTGCGGCTTCGGGAAGCTGAGCAGCAGGGCTGGCTGCGAGCTGAGAAACCCAGGCGCCAGGCCCGCTGGCCTCAGGCCCACCTGAGCTGGGCAAGCAATTCTCGGGTGCCTCTGAATTGCCCCCTCGCCCTCTGACCGGCAAGGCCCCACGCACTCAGAATGCAAGTGTGGGGTTCAGACTCCATGAAACCCCACCGGCTCCCCAGAATCTGTCTGGCTTGCGTGCCTCGGCCATTCGTTGCTCAGAAGTGCCCAGCAGTCCTCCCGTGGACGGCACCGGCAGTGATGGTGCCGCAGAAGCCATCGGGTGCTCTCGCTCCACCTCTCAGGAGACCTGGAATCTCCGTGACGTTCCTTTATGGTAAGATCTCCCCGTCCCGTCTGCGCGTGTACTGTAGCCTCCTGGTGCATGAGCGTGTAGGAGCTCGAGTCTTGTGGTGCTATTTTCACTGGTGCAAACGAAACCCTCGTGGCCGACCAGAGCTTGCCATTCCCAGGACAGGGAAAGGAAGACGACGACGCTCTCATCGCTCTGCTGTCTTCCCTTCAGAGACACGTGTATATAGTCTCCGCTAGTTAACGTACATGGCATACTGTAGCCGCGGTATTTTCGTTGTACTTTTTGGTGATGGTTATGAAAGAAAAGAAAAAAAAAAGAGCAGAAGACACACGTTGGACACCATTGTAAATGAAAAGTTAATCATTTCATTGGAAGCAAGTTGAATATGTCTAATAAAACGTTTTTCCATAACAATTTTCAGCTGTCTGTGAAGTGAAAGACGAAAACCAGTCCCTGTGAGCTGACATGGGGTGGGGGGTCCTGTCCCCCCAGTGGTCACGTAGCTGGCCTGGGAATCGGCCGCAAGGAAGCCACAGCTGTGGGCAGTGTCAGAGGTCACTGGGAAATGCTGCTTCGGTGGGGGGTGGGAGGTGGGGGCATCTCCCCAAGCGAGCCCTGGGCCACACCCCTGCATGGTTGCAAAACACTCATGGAGAGGGGAAGGTCTCCACGGAGCATCTGGTGAAGCCCGTGTCTGGGTGGTGCCGGGAGCCGGGTTCTGCCAGGTGGACGCCCACCCCCCAGTCCCACCTTCCCGACCTTTAGCTCCCGACCCCTCCGAGCTGACAGCTCAACCAGCTTCTCTGCCCTTGCGGTGATGAGCCAGCGGCCTTGCCGGCCACCCGGGTGGGGGACACAGCCGGACACCCCTCCCTGTCCCAGGACAGCCTCAGCCTGAGGTGGAGGGGGCGCATCCCAGCTGCTGCTCCCGGGTGGGCGCTGTCCCCCTTCCCAGCCTCAAGGAGAAGCGGCTCCCAGATATCAGCTTGGAGCTCTGCGCTCCGTTCTTGTCAGAGCAACACCCAGAAGTCTCACAAATAAAGACCTTTTGTCGAACAGACAGCAAACTGCCCACAGGAGACTGCAGAAGGCGCCCGCTCTGGGCCAGCCGGCGGCCCGCAGCTCCCCCTCCCTGGGACGGCCACTCTCTGGCTGCTAACTTGGTGCTGCGCCAACGCTTTGCCATTTCCTCCTAAGCAGCCGGAGTCCTGGGTGACCCTCCACGGCTGCAGATTGTTAGGTGACCCCTCACCCGCCACCCTCAGTGTGTCGAGTGGGCTTCTGGCAGGAACTGGCCAGAACAGACAGCAAACTGCCCACAGCTGCCAGGTCGCCAGGAGACTGCAGAAGGCACAGAGAGCACAGAGCAGCCGACTGCTGAGGCCCCCGCAGCCCTCGGGCAGACAGACCGGACCGGACCCCAGAGCGGGAGGGTGCGCCCGCCCAGGCGTGGCTTCCGCCGTGGGCTCCTCAACTGGCCTCCAGCTGGCCTTCTGCTTGCCTTCCCCCCCCCAAAGGGAGTCTCGCCAAGGCAGAAGCGTGCTCGTCCTCTATCACTGGACCTCCCAACACACGCAAAGGCTGAGTGAAGACAGCCAGGCAGCATTCAGCGCTCAGCAGGGCAGCAGGGTGTAGTGTGCCCCTTCGGGCCCGGTGACGACACGCTGTCTCTCACACACACACACACACACGCACACACACACACACACACGCACACACACGCACGACAAAATCGCCTCGTGCCTTTCTCTGAGCATGGCCGCAGTCAAGCCCGCAGCCAGCGTATGCGTATACACTCACCCTTTAACAGCTTCGACTTAAAGATTTTAGATTCTTTTCAGACAAATTTGGGGGTCATACCAGAAATGTATATACTGGGTAATAAAAGTATCTTCTAAAGTCAATTTTTTTTTTTTTTTTGCACATACTTTCAACGATACAAATGTTTGGACAGCAACTCTAAGTCGATGAAAACAGGATGTTCGCAGTTTTTCAAATTCTCCCTTGCCACAGGTGTTGTCAGGTGGTTGCCATGGTGACCCAGAAACTGTTTTCTCTTTATCCTTGGAACAGGAGAGTGACAGACTCGGGAGGCAATGTGTGCAGTTTGGCGACGATCTTTGTGCAGTGTGATGTGGCGCCACCATGGGTGTGGCTAGAGTGGAACTTTAACCGCGAGGCTCACGCAGTTGTGAGGGCAAGTATGGAGTGTGGGTGCCAGGGACCACTCTCCCGCCCTCGCTGTCGTCTCCTAGGCTGGAAGCCCTTCTCAGCCCCACCCACCCCCTATGGCCCACTCCCTATAGGCCCTAGAATGCTGAAGCAGCTTCAGCATTGCAGATATTCAAAAATGACTAAGAAACCAAAAGGTTTTCCTCCTGGAATAGCTTAGGATTTCCCTAGGAAAGATTAGATGCCCAAGTCACGGGATTCGTCCCCAAAATAGGAAAAAAGATAAATGACCCAGTGAATCCAAGGATTCCTTGATTGGAAGAGTCCAGTTAAGCCAAAGCAAAACTCCTTTCCAAATGTGCGAAGGGTCACTCATCCCCAGCAGGGCTGTCTGGGGCTCCCAGTTACTGATATTTACAGGCAGCCCAGTCTGTGGCTTAAACTCTCAGTGCGAAGCTTGGCTTACTTAAATGGGCTCAGAGGAAGGGAGTGCCCTGCACTTTCCAGTAGCTCCTTCCTGTTTCTTCCACTCCCATTCTCTTTCTCCGCCTCAGCCTCTTCCTCTCCCCACAATTCTTTCCTTTATGCTTTCCATTTTGTGGCTCTGCTTTCCGTTTCCTTGTGCTAGTATGTATTCTTTTACTCCCCCTAGATCCAGTTCCCCTCCCCTACCCCCTCCTTCCCACACTGCTATACCCACTTTTCCCACTCTCCACTTTCAGACGATTATCCTCTCTGACTTTGACCCCCATCATACATC